AGAAAACCTATAGACTGATGGACTGTGGATGGACTACTAGGACTAGAAGAGCCTAGTGAAAGATATGGAATCTCAAAATGAAATGTTGAATTAGAAAGAATTATGGAAAGAAGGCAATGTCAAAAGGGGGCGGGCAGAAGATGCAGAATTAAGTAGGACACAGAAAGGGATTGTATAGAGGACAGAAGACAAATATTTGAAAGGAAAAGAAAAATGGGATAAAAATCCAAAAAGGTGAAATGTAATGAGGGAAACTAAGAACTAGGAGCTGTAGAAGATTTGCAGGTAAGATTAGAAAGTTGGAGGGTGAGTAGCAGAAAAGCACATTGGGAAACAGTAGGAGCTCAGGTAAGAAGAAAGGAAGCTTTTGGTTTAAAACTTGGATAGTATTAAGAAGGGGTACAGAATGAAAGTTCACTGCAGATCCTTAGAGACACAGATAATAGCATTGTGCCAGCACACTGTCCACAATACACTGAGATAGCAGTATGGTGCCTGACAGTGCAAAGCAGATACTGAAATCCAGCATGAAGTCATCATACTGGGATTACTTTACAGCTGTTGAAACCTGCTTTAGTGATTCTCCAACTCCTTAAAAGTGAGTAACACCAGAGTTATCTATCAACAGAGTAATTTTTTGGATAGAAATATTCATTTATATCTCTAAATGATGCACTAAAAAGGACAATGAATGCCTCTGCTAATATGAAATGATTTTTGATTTGATAATCTCCACAAAAAAAAAGTTTCAATATGAGTGTGCATAGGAAATTGTGAGGTGCCAAATCTTCATTACCCATTCAAGAACAAAGCCACTGGAAGTTTTGCTGAAGCTTTCCCCAATGGACAATGTGGGTATACAGGAAAAAGTCAGAACTGTTCTGAGTCAATTTCAAGGGTATCAAGAATGACACCATTTTTGTTGTTAAGTTACAACTGTAACAACATAAGCAGATCCACAGGCCAAAATTATTATACTCCTACAACTTGTCTCAGCATTATTGTTGAGACAGACACCATGAAGTCTACATCATGAACTCTACTTCACTGATGTCTCTGTACCCTGTTACCTCATCACTGAAATACTTTTGTTGTTTTTAAAACACTCCCGGCTTGTAGGGGGAAGGGGCACACAATTACGCTAAGTGTGTGATTATATATTATTAGCAGAATACAACACAAATGCAATGTAAAAGAGTCCAATAATTGGCAGAGTCCATGAGTGTTCAGTAGATGTTCAGGAATTTATACTGGCCAGAATACTTACTACAAGTAAAGATGATGGCCTACCTACTCAATGATAATTTACAGATAACTGTCAATCAAATAAGAATATTAGCAGTTTCTTGCCTTATTCTTTCTCGACCATTTACATTACAGTGAAAGACTTCTAGTTTTAGCATCATTTTAAATCCACTAAATTTCCCATCAAGCAAAAATTATACTGCTGAAATACGATAAATACTATTTTAAATTTTTTTAAAAAAATTACTAGCATTATGCAAATCCATGCCACATATGGCAGACTTTTAGTCTCCTAGAAGAACTGGCAAGACTTTTTAAAACACAGAATGTTAAATCATTTTTTTCCCAGTTTTATTTACTCCTCAGAGGTTTAAGACCTAGCTGTTTTAACTTGATCTATTTCTCTTTTAATCAGTAAATTCTGACCTCAGATTCATTTAGATGCATACAATGACCTTTGGTACATTATAACATTCTTTCATTATACTGTAAAATTACAAGTGTCCCTCTCAGAAACATCCAAAGACAGCACAACATGAGCAATGAGATTTCAAAACATGGGAACAACATTTTTCAAAGTAATATTTTCTTTCAGGTGAAAATTCATATTACAGCAACTAATCTGAGTTTTCCTTCTAAAGGGACTACTACAGTAGTGAAATTTAAACAGTGGTGAGTTTAATAATATAAAAAATATTTCTTGCAAAGTGAGCAATTATGTTGTGCAACTCCCTGTTATATGCAATTACAGAGGCCAAGAATATAGCAGGGATTCAAAATCAGATTTGAACATGTGTAACAAGAGTTATAAAAGGTATCAAAATAAACACTTTGCAAGTGTTAGTAAGCATTGTGTTTTAGAGCTAATGCAATTTTTAACAACTTGATATTATCAATGTCTGGAAAGACGTAATGTGAAAACTCTACTACATGCTTCTTAAGATTTTCTGTAATTGTTTTGTATTGGCTACAGTCAGAAATGGACAACTGAACAAAACCAGCCTTGAGCCCCATTCTAGAGTAGCAATCACAGCCCTACACGATTGTGAAACACCATCAAGAGGCAAAGTGACCATCAGTGTAGGATTACAGTTTGTCAGATGCTTAGTTTCTTGTTCACATAAATATTTACTGTTAAACTGGGATGAAGTGTCTAGGTGTAGAATGGAGCTCTTCATCTTAGAAAGAGCACAGTTTTTATTCAAACCTCACTAATAATATCAGTCTTCTTATGGCTGCCAAAGAATTGCAGACAAGGTCTGTATGTAAAATCCAACCAAATATTCTCCATATAATTGTAACAAAATGTAACGCAGTCCAAATTTAGATCCTGATTGGCTTGTATAGTAACAGTATTGATTTCCCTGGTAGCATGAAAACAAACGCAGCTGTCAGCTAATTCAAATGTTAGGCAGACTGCATATTTTCACTCTAGGAATATTTACTTATTACCAAATGCTAAGACCAATGTATTAAATGTATGATGGTACACACACAAAATTTCATAAACACAATTATGTAAAATCCCAGGGGGAAAAAAATTAAAAGGATAATTAAATACTCATTTATCACTGTTTTCAAGACAATTTATCATAGCATAAAAAGGCATTTAATGCTTGGTTTATGTTGCTTTTTTCAACTTAAACTGAATACTGAGAAAATGCTTTAAATCATGTAGATCACCAAATGGGTCAAAATCCCATTTGTGATTTCACATCTAACACTGATATTTCAAAGGGCTGTAATATTTTTCTTTGTTTAGGGTCACTGACTATTATAAGGTTAGAAATTTTAGCCTTATTGTGGTATTTCTTACTTTAAAAAGGGAAGCAAACATCACAGTTTATCTGTATGCTGTCCCTGCTCCTTAAAACACTCAGTCTTTTCCTACAGGTGCAATACAGATTTTTAACATATTTTTACTATCTGTTATTTAAGAAAGTAGCCTAATGCACTGCATGATTTGATACTTTTAATTACTGTGACTAACACTTTCTGGTTTGCCTCTTAAATTTTCTTCCCATTCTCTGAATATGTTCATTTTCTTTAAGGGAACCAAATTTCATGGGTCATTTATATGAACAGGAACCTGGCAGAAGTTTTTAAGCCCAGATGCCTGACTTAAAAGTTAACAAATACATTTATTTGAAATTATAATTTTTCCTCTCCTTATTCCCCCCATTACACAATTCTTTTTCCAAACAAAATTATGTGAAAATTTTGAGTCTTATGACTTACTTCTGAGTTAAACATTTTGTTCCAAAGAGCTTTACATAACAATTCAGAATGGCTGTCCAGCTGCTGTTCCTGGCCTTTCCTGACCTTGATCTTAGTTCTCTTGTCTGAACTTGTGACAGAGAAAGGGATATTTTTCTTGAATTACATTACATATAATCCTAATTAAAATACCCTCTCTTCAGTGTTAAGACAGGTAGTTCTAACAGTTAGCAGCAGCTTTCTATACAGCTATATTCTTCGACAAGGCAATGTGAAAAATTGTAAATGATGTTACAAAAAAATCTTGTCAAAACTTCTATATGAGCCTCAGAGGTGGAACACACATAAGCAGATTATCATATGTAAATTCTTCAAGGCAATAATTTAAATTTTCTTATACATTTCAGAAGCTCTTATCTGTGTTATCAAAGCCCATGGTATGCAGCTACAGTAAATAAGGGAAGATCTAAACTTCAGTGAGTAAGACTGCTTTTTTTTTTCACCAAGCAGCTAATATTAAATTCAATTACACCTACATTGTTCTTCCTGTATGCAGTGTCTCCAGGTCTGAAGCAGCCAATGATAAGAAGTTGATTATAACTGTAAAGTTAAACACCTTGCAGTTTAACTAGACGCATGTTAGGACTGAAATAATTATGACCTTGAATATACTTCCCTACATCTTATGTATCACATGCAAACCCTGCCAGAGGTACGAAAGGCAAATTTTATTTTAATTTAAATTGTTTCACTTAAATATATAATAAATTATTTTCTGGCCATCATTAATACCTGACTGTCAACAACATAGAATAAGCTGAAAATCCATCTTCATCCCAGGAAGCAGGTTAATGGTAAGGAAGAACTAGTAAGAAAAGAAACCCTCTGAGTGAAAATCAGTGCTTCCTGTTGCTTTAGCAAAAAGAAACACAATACCCAGGGCTGATCACCTTGGACAGTTTTCTTAAGTTAAAACTCTAAAATGTTAAAGTTTTTGGAAAGCTTTTGACAAAGAAATATACAATGAAGAGCTCTCATTATACTCCTTTGCCAATCTTTCAGCAGTGAAATACTGAAGTTCCAACAATGTCTACATGTGGGCATTTGTTTAAACAGTCTTGTTTCGCATTCAGATTGTAAATGGAAAAGAAAAAAAGGGAAGTGTTTGGCCAGACTGAAACTCAATAATCAGATATGTTGATGTCATCAATTGACAAAAACCTCAATTCATCCATGATTATTGCTATATTTGCTTTGTAGAATTAGTATAAATAAACAGCAATGAAAATTTATTCTAGATAACATGTTGGCATACACACAACGACTTGACGCATTCAGTGCTATAGGTGACCCTGTGTCACTTTTAATGCATTGTCATAATGAATTAGAGAATGAACATCAGAAAATAATTGTCATTATAGGAATTTACTGGAATTACTTTAATTAACACTTCTGTATATTACTATGCAAAGATATCAGAAGGTAAAATTATACTGGATTTTAAGATTTAATTAGTTTAAGTTTAAAGGTCTCCTTACCTTCTATTGCTGAGAGTAGAACACGAGAATGGTCATATGCAATTACATTCGCATATCTATTCTTTGGTTTGTTTACTTCCAGGTTAGAATGTTCCCATGTGAACTGCTGACCGGGATCAATAGACTTAAAAATTGAAAGACAAGAAAAGAAAATGGAAACTTTTAGCTGGACTACATACTTCTATTTATAATGATTACAAATCATATGATCCTGTAGTTTGGATATATTTTACTTTTGAAAGAAAATTACAACTTTGGGACACACTGTTACATATTATATCACATTACATAAAGCATTTTGTATTTATCTGAAATTTACATCAGGAATTTAAACCATAAATTTTTCAAATTCAAGGCTCTCTCTTCAGAAAGGCAAGTGTATGCTGTCCATCTTTTAATCTTTTCACTCAGTTTGGCAAGTGAGGGGTTCTATCATAACAGAGAATGAAAAAAATGTCAGAAAACTCAAGAACACCGGGACAAAGGGGAATAAATATTTTTATCTTTTTCTATTATTAAGTGCACATGTTCAAACAATTCAGTGTCCTGTTTACTAAATAAACTCCAAATGTTCCTAAAGAAGTTTTCTGGAAGAAAAATAGTATTTCTCTTCTTTCATTTTGATGACAGGCCAACACATGATACCAGTGTTGCTCAAGTAACCAACTGCATATCATGCAGGGACAACATAAAGAGACTTGATTTTTATTTCCTTGGGTCATATATAAAGGAGCAATTCAGGCATATTTGAAATTTTAATGACCTCTTATTTATACACATGACTATATCACCCTAGAATCACTCTTTATTTCCTGCTTCCTTCATGTTCCAGGATGGAGTTACTGAAGTTTGTCCCACACGCCTTCACCCTTCACCAGTAGGAAGACTCCAGGCTCTACTACTTATTTTTATCTCTATGCTTGAGGAATACATATGGTTGGGTAAATACAAAATATAAAACTCAAAACAGATGGTACCTGCTTATGCCTGCTATCGTAGTAGCTGTATGAAAGGTCATTTCATACTGAGAAGTCCCAATTAATCACATACTGTTTTACTTTCCCTTTCTGTAACATTAGAGACCTTACAATTGCTTCATCAACACGTATATGCAACTGTGGTTTGTGGCTCATGCCATTTGCAAACACGAAGTTTAAGGTGCATTTTTACATCTACAGTTGCACTTCGAAAATTACGATCTAAGTAAATGCTAACCATTATGATAAAGAGTGTAAACTCTATATTATATCTATTGTTAATGTGAATTTATAGATTAAGAATAATTTGTATTTAAAGCTTAGTTTCAACTGTTCATTATTACTCTTCACCTTTTCATTCCTTAATGTTTAAGTGACCTAAAGCTGCTTTTTGATACCAAGAAAAAAATCAAACAGCAGCTTTCTCTGTCAGCTATTAGTAGAAGTAGATGAGGATATGTTCCTCACGGCAGCATACTATATCCCCATTCACTTCTTTGTATGATGTATAGCCAGATGGTGTAATTCAGTGATTAATATTTAGGCATGAATGCAGACATAATTAACATAAATTATGTCAAAACCAGGCAAATGGACTGAACTTTAATCTTTCCTGTTTTGTTTTTTTTTCACCAATCTGAACCACTTTGTGGCCTTGCTATCCTTCCACAAAGCACTGTTTTGGCAAAAGAAAGTTAATCTATATTTCCTCAGACTTAATAGCCACACTGGAACAAAGAGTAGAGTGGTATTGGCAGACACATTTCAGAAGTGTGAAAGACCAATAACTCATGAATAACAAGTCTGTACTAACAGTTTTAATGAGTGCTTTAATGGTTTAATGGATAGCATTTTAACAGGATTTCTAGTACATTCATTCTGAAAGCTTGCCTTCAATAAAGCTGTCATTAACAAAGAACTGGATTTCTCCATAGCATAATTGTGTAGTATGGGTGCTTTGTACAAAAGAAATAAAGATATCTGTAATACTTTTATTACCCTCTCACGCCTTGACTAATCTTTCAGCTATTGAGTTCTAAATAGATGGTTGCTGAAAAAAAGTCGGCTCTGTTCCTGGGAAAAGACTTGAGCAGTATTTACTAGTACAATGCACCATCCATAAAACAGTTCTTTGACTATGAATCATGGTAACCAAAACGTGCTTCCAGAAAATTCTTCTGCTCATTATAAAGTTTTCCTTTACACTACTTCAACAAGAGGGAAATGTTTCCTTCTGCGATTGTGAGTCTTCCAGATGTACACCCTGGTACGGTACCGGCAAAGGAATGAGTATGACAAAATGCCGCCCGGCCTGGTGTAAGCTGAGATATGCTTGCCTGCCCTGGAATAGTGCTCTACTAAGGGTCACTATGCCAGTAAATTAAGAGCCAGCAGCTTTGAGTCTTTGTGTGTCATGAGGACTGTGAGTTACTGCACAGGTTTCACAAGCCCCAAAGGGGAAGGAGTCCTGTCCTGTAAAGAATGTCCCAGCACTGTAGGTGCTGAATTTGAGGCTCAAATTAAATCATCAAAAACCAATAGGTCACAGAGAAATCTAAGACCAGGTAGAGAAAGAAGAATGAAAAAGATATATTTGAGATTATGTCAATGCAAATAGACTCTGCACAACTGGAGAAAGTAGTCAGCTACCCATAAAAATGAACAATTTGACCCTCTTTTACCAATGTCAGCAGTTGCGATGAGAATTTCATAGCATAGTTGATGAATCTGTAATAGGATGCTATTCTATTATTCAGGAATCTTGTTAAAAGAATGAGATTTATATACTGCATTACCAAAACATGAATGCTATAGATGCATAAACATTAATACACAATCATGGCAACTTGCCAACTGGAATTATGTTTTCTTACTAAGGCAGAGTTTTGCACATTGCATTGTAAAGGCTGCCATTTTCGAGAGATATGGGGTGACAAACCAACATTTTTTGCATGATTAAATATTCTTTAGAATTCAAATAGATATCCTGGTTCTAAAAACAGTTAAAAGCTCACAGATGAGACATTCCCTGTTGACCCAACTGTTCAAAAGTAGCTAGAAACACAACTAAGGCTTTTGCCAAACTTCTCTCAAGTACAAAGATACTTCCTCTGCAATAACAAGCTAATATTCCTATGATCAAATGAGATCACTTAAAACCTGATTCTAATGGAAACAAACAAGCTAGATATGCATGTAACTGAAGTATACTTAAGGAAGAAAATAATCATTATTTGAAAATATCATTGAAGGAAAGTTTCTATTACATAAAAACCTTTAGAAAATCTAATTTTCAAAGAAAGAATCCTACTATTTTGTATTTATTTGCCTCCAGTCTTAAATCTAATCTGTTTGTTTCTCATCTGCAATTAAAATCCTTTGTCCATGATATCATAACCAGTTGTGGTGGAAATAATTTTGTGTTGAAAAAAAGAGGATTACACTCAACTTCAGGTAGGAAATAAATATCAGAAGCATAATAATAACTGAGAAATGAAAATGCTTACTTAAATATTTTTGTGATTAAAGCATCTTGTTGATTTGTTTTATATAGTACATGAAACACAGCAGCTCTTACACTAAACATTTAACTTTGTAATTGTCTCATATGAGACACTGGTGCTGCTTTAAAATTTCAACATATTTTGAAAGCACTGTCAAGATTTAATTTTTTAAGAAAGGATCAAAGGAGTGAAATTTTTCACTGATTCCTCCATATCCTTCCAGAAAACCCTTAAAAACATTGCTTTCTAAAAAGCCCCCACAAAACTGAGTTTTACCTATAATGACCTACATAGTCTGTCCTTGGATACTTTTTCTTGCTGCAAGAAGCAGACACTTTTTCTCTTCCTACATATATCACTGTTTTCAGTTGAGCAAAATAAATCTGACATTTATTACATTATTTGACTATTTAAATCATCTCTGTAGAATTCCTTGGCACAACAGCATTAGGTATCAGACCAAAACATAGCATTCTAATGTGGTAACACCAGCTTTCTTTTATCTGAATATTCTTTTAATTATACAAGCATAAACACATAATGTAATCCCAATGAAGCATTCACAGTACAAAGGAAGGAGTTAATACATTACTATAAATCTTAACTAGTGCCACTTCAGATTCCCACATTATATCTTTAAAATTCTCTATCATAACTAGCCTGATGGCTCAGATACTACCCTAGGTAGAAGTAACACCAAACAACCTAGGTGAATGCAACAGCATATGTGCTTTTAATAAGAAGACAAACAACTTTTCATTTTTTGCTGACTACACTAATTGTTTCTCAATAAATGGAGCATATTCTATGCAAGTATAGTTACAGAATACCAATGAATTATATCTGTAAAATTGGAAAGACGAAACTACTGTAAAGATAAAGAATAGAAAACATTTTTGCTGAGAGGAAATTGATTTTTGCATATGAGTCACTATTATCTGTAAGGATATGGCAGTTAAGTGCAGCTGTTTCTTTGGTAGATTGATTCAGCAGGTTATCTGTTTTTCATGGACTTTTAAAGTGGTTTATATCAATAATAAGTTTTTTTACATACTTCTATTATATAAAATGTATTGTTTTAGTGTCCAGTGTTTAGCTTGTTGCAGCTTGAGATACAAGAAGATAAATGTACTATATTTGGTGGATTGTCTTCTCATCACAAATCCTACCCACTGATACTGAAAAGCTACAATAAAACTTGTAATAGTACAGCAGTGTGGCACAGACCTAAAATGCATCTTAATTTTTTCCAATACTCAGTGTTAAAGCAAAAGATTGGCTGTAATTTATAGAAAGAAGCCTGATGAGGAAAAATATTAAAATTATGTACAACTTCTCATAACATTAGTTAACCAGTGTACACACACACACAGACACATGTACACAGTAAATCATACAATAACACGTAAAGGCTGGTATTGTAATTTTTGTGTTGCAGTGACAGGCTCACACAAAAATGGTATGAATCTGAATCTACTTCCTTAATGGTATAAAGCTATGACTACAGGTCTCAGATAATAAATGTGAAACTATTTTACACAAGGCCCAGGAATCTGCTTTGGAGGAATAGATTTTCTGTTCTATGTTACAGGAGGAAATAACTTCACAAATACATTTACTGTGTTGCATACAGTAGGCAGAAC